GTAGCGTAATGGCTTCCAAAATACTAAATATACCAAGTTTCTCCCCCATACCAAATCACCAGTATAATCATTTTGGTCCTTCACTAGTTATTTTTGTTATTTTGTTAGAGTTTTAGTTTCAATTGTGAAGGAGATAACTGGTTTCAATAGAGAGGATTTATTGAAATCTTACGTTGAAGTAATACATTATTAATAGAAATAATAATTATCATTATTATGTATCTCTACCAGTATTCATTCCTGACCACTGTTGATCCAATCAGTGACAAGACTGTCCATGAGGAAGTGGTTAGACTGTTAGTTGAGTATGTAACAGGAAAACATGACAAGGAGAACCAATTACTACTGGTAAGAGAGGGAAGGAGAGAGGGTACACTGTACATGTATGTACATGTATGTGTAGGTGAATTTTGCTATTAAAAATAATAATTATTATTATTATCTTTAGTACATTTGGTTCTTTTTTGATGTCGTCATAAAAAGTATTGCACAGTCCAAGGACATGAGACACGAAAATGAAACAGTAAGAGAAATGAATACCGTATCTTTCTTATGTACATGCACATTGTACATGTAACAGTTGCAATTTCTGAAAAATACCCAAGGCTATAGCCCATGGTTTTTTCCAAAAAATGGCTCCAAAATCACCCCTAATTTTTATTACATTTTCTGATACATATTGATGTACTTATGCTGTATAGAAAGTTTGAGCCGATTCCAACTTCAATTTTTCACGTTACGGCCATTTTAAGAAAACGTCAAAAATTTGAAAAATACCCAAGGCTATTATAGCCCATGATTTTTTTCCAAAAAATGGCTCCGAAATCACCCCAAATTTTTATTACATTTTCTGATACATATTGATGTCCTTATGCTGTGTAGAAAGTTTGAGCTGATTCCAACTTCAATTTTTCAAGCTACGGCCATTTTTAAAAATGCCAAAATTATGAAAATTACCCAAGGCTATAGCCCATGGTTTTTCCCAAAAAATGGCTCCGAAATCATCTCAAATTTTTATTACATTTTCTGATACATATTGATGTCCTTATGCTGTGTAGCAAGTTTGAGCTGATTCCAACTTCAATTTTTCAAGCTATGGCCATTTTTAAAAATGCCAAAATTATGAAAATTACCCAAGGCTATAGCCCATGGTTTTTCCCAAAAAATGGCTCCGAAATCATCTCAAATTTTTATTACATTTTCTGATACATATTGATGTCCTTATGCTGTGTAGCAAGTTTGAGCTGATTCCGATTTTAAATTTTCAAGTTACGGCCATTTTAACAACTGTACTTGTACCATGGGCTAATGTACATTAATGTACTGATATGTGTTTTAGGATCGCAGTGAGCTGATATCAAGTGAATTCACAGAGAATATTGAAACATTATTATTATTTATAATAACACAGTCTTGCAATGACACCAACAATGGACTGGTAAAAAACAATTTGTAATTATTTTTCTTATTTATTATTATTATTGTTATTATATTTTAGAAAGGAATTGTCAGTGTTGCAAAATTTATTAAAGTAAGAATTAAAAAAGTAATTATGTCATTATCATTATTATTATTATTTTTGTAGCAATGCTTCAGTTTTATTGATCGTGGTCTTGTTTTTAATTTCATTGATAAATCCATTGAAGTATTGGACTCCTTTGATACCCAGGTAAGAGATACAAGTATTGGTTATTTCATTAATATTACATTTAACAACAAAGCTAGTGATTAATAATAATCGTACCATACAATCCTTTACTAACTTTCATGTAATTGACTTTGCCCGTTAAATGTTTTACATGTACATGTACACCCGCCTATAGTTCACGTACATTTGTACATGTATGACTTTAAAGAATATTGTACTCTTTTAAATGTACATGTACATGTACATATTATTATTTTCTCTCTCTCTCTCTCTATTTTCTGTTAGTTTGTTTCTGAGTTGAGGTTAGACTTCTTGTCTTATGTCTGTGAACACGAGCACTTCATTCCACTCAACCTTCCCTTCAAAACTAAACGTAAGAATATAAAGACAACCATTATCATTCATAATAATTGTACGTGTTAAATTTAATGTAATTTAAAAGTTCCCCTTACATATACAGTGTACATGTACATGTACATAATACTAATCCTCTTCTTATTCTGTAGCTGTCCTGATGACATTTTACATTAATGATGAATACTGCACTGATCATTACCTGGCTGGACTACTCCTTAGGGAAGTGAGTTACTGTTAATGATACATGTCCATTAGTACATTAGTACATGTACTAAATGTACGTGTACATGGTAATTGTTCCTTTTAAACTTATAGTACACGTGAGAGTATCATTATGCTTTATGTATAGTGTATGGTTATTAATATTAGTTGTACTTGATGGTTGATCTAAATGTTGTTCATTTGTTACGGCGACCATTATAGACAGGATCATGTATTATGTACATGTACATGTATTTCATGTCATTTGGTTTTTATTGTTTCTTGTTACTGTAGTTTGAGGCAGCACTGAAATCAGATAACATTCAGGTTAGATCAAAGTCTATCAAGATGGTCAGGAACGTTCTAGCAAAGATTGACTTTGATGACCGCTACACTGACCAGGTGAGAAATACACATGTACAATTTGTACTGTCAATTTTTAATTAAAAGTGTGGGCGGTTTGACCTTTTGACTCATGCTTTACGTTAGAATTGAATCAAGTTTAACTGACCAGTGTCAATGTAACGTCAGGACTATCCTAATATTGTCAACTAGCCTTTAAGCCTTTCTATACTTGCAATGAGGTTTGAACTGGTTTACAAATGTAGATTTGATGTGTGTGCATTTTATATTTTTTGTATTTTCACATTCTTCATTTTTTTGAAGAGCAAATGATAGAGGACAAAATACACATGTAATAAAATATATTTACAAAATAATAAAATGCTGGTACCACATGTATTAGAGTATGAAAATATAAACTATTAATTTCATTATTGTTGTTACTTGTTTTGTTTTCATAGAAAGTCATAAACTGTTTTCACTTTTTTCCAGTGACACTATTGAGCTATTGCTTGTATCTCTGTACCACTGAAATCCATGAATATGTCACATTTTCTCTCTTTCCTTGGTACATTATCAAGATTAGGAATATCAAGTATTAGCTCACTAATCTTATGTACTGTTAGTTTACCTTCTTTATCTTCTGTATACTGAACCCCATCATCTGCTGTACAGTATATGGGGATAGTAACTTGTCTTTGAGAACAAGGCATTAAGTACTTCACCTTTTATCTATTTTCCTTTAAGTACAAACACTTTGAAAATTTTGCCATGTACAGAGTAACATGTGCACTTCAGTCATTCTGAATTCATTAACTGTTAGACCCTTGCTTGGTTAGTGTTTCAAATTTATATTAGAATTTAAGTCAGGGTGAAGTTAACCCATTCAAAAATTGGAATGTACTAAAGCAACACGTGTGCTGCGAGGTTTATCTACATGTACGTGTACATGTACATTCCCTCTCCTTTTATACTCAGTTATTTGTAAAGGGTCTAATGGGTTGTCCTCTTGAGGACGGGAGGATAGATCTCCCAGCCCTTTGTTTAGTGTTTTAAATATTCAATTGCTAGTATTAAAATTTAATTAACTGTTACTACTACTACATGCATGTACAGCCTTTTGCAGAAAACTTGCCACCACCAGATCTAGTCACGTGACAATGAGCCACTAGGTAGGCTTAATATTTTATGAAGTCAAGTGATCAGACTGGTGCAGGTTTTGTGCAAAGGGCTGTACGGTATGTCCTGATTGTCCTCTATCTCCCAGCCCCTTGCTTGTTTATGTTTAACTGTTTATAATTAATAGTTTAAGACAGGGTTAAGTTAACCCATTCAAAAATTGTTACCTATAAGGGAAGT